CAGTTTCTTCAAAAAAGAAAAAAAAGAAAAAAAAAAAACAAACACAAAATCACAAAATTACGCACAGTGTGATCCCAAAATGGCGGGAGATTGAAATTACGTATTGGTTTTTTTAACGCGGCCTTGCATACAAGTTATTTTGCCTACACAGATTTACGTTGACAAAGTAAAAAAATGAACTTTTTTATTCACGACTCACGTAATTTAAGTAATTTTAAAAATAAAATTTAATTATAACAAATAATACATTAAAAAATTAATGTTTCGATTATTTGAATATTTTTACCGATTATTTGAATATATTTGCCGATTATTCGCATAACAATGAATTTTAATCAACCAAACACTACGGTAAGGTACATAACGACATATCATTGAAACGACGTCAAGTAAAAAGTTTATACTGGTAATTTTTTTAAATATTTTGCTTTGTTTGAAAGATTCAAATTTAAATTAGTGATAAAAAACTATACACTTTGTAATGAAATATAGATAACTTCATAATTCTTCGGATTTACGTAAAAGTTTATTTTAAATAGTGTGTGTACGCTTGTGCAAAGTTATTGCGGAATGATTAATGTGAAACGTCAAAAGGTATTTCTTAGATTTGGTTGACTTGATAAGCAAAAAAGTTTTTCCTGCACCACAAGGAAAAAATCCCGCCTTCACCACTCTCAATTCGTCGTAATATTTTGTGGGTAATCTCTCTTTACTCAGCAAAAGTGGCTCGATTTCACACACGTGAGTGTCTGATTTGATGGTATCATAGCGTAGCTCTGTAATCAAATCGTTTGACAGTTCTACTTTACACCGTGGTGTAGGCATACAGAAATCGGACAGTTTCTTTCCGTATCAAAATGGCAAATAGCTCTCTCACTTGCGCCGGTAAGCGACACAGCACGGCCTATTTTATGGTGGCGTCCCAGTATCTTCCATCAACCCCACTCTCCCACACACCTGTCACTAGATAGCAAGTTCTTGGCCTTCAACTGTTTTTAAATCCAAGAAGTTGGTGGGACCTCTTATTACATTCAGCAGCATTCGCAAACAATAACATTTAAAGTTGCTAACGTGCACAGTGTAAATGCGGCCAAGAGCGTTATACCAAATACTGACTCATGTTATTTGGATCCAAATCCGCATCATTTCTTATTGCATCTTGCAAGTGAATATAATTTTCTGCGCTCAGTTTTTTTTATTTAAAGAAATGAACCTTAGGCGTTCACTCTCCATCTTTACATACATGTCGACCAGAAACTAATGAAGGAGGAGCCTACACCTAAGCAGTAAATTAAAATCGCCGTAACGGACCATCAAGTGATAAGCAAAAATATCTTTGCACGACGCCTTTTTTTGGCATAGGGCGTTTGGTAACTGGATTTACCTGAATAATTTTAATACTGTACCCCTATTGTCCTTTCCAAAAAATAATTGGGTACTCGAGAGCGTCATCAAATCTGTGTGTGTCAGGAACTCTAGTGAGAATGCCATCGTGCACCTGTAAAACGGTGTCCCGATTCGTAGTTTATTCACTACTAACTATTACTGCTATTTCCTTTGTGGTTGAGGCATTGAACCGTGTGACTACGTGGTCCACGATCTGGGTGGATCACTACTTTGAAATAATCGTCATTGATCATTCTGTCTCTAGCCGTTTTAAATTCATGTACCAATATGTTGTCATTGTGAAGTACTCGTTGTAATTTTTGAGCAATGTTTCTTTCTACACCTTGCACATACTCAATACGCCTATCGATTTGTGATTCTTCACCACTCAAGACATACACTTGTCAAAATTGTGGTTGCAAACTGACCGCAGGAAGTAAAGAACCGATTCGATGGCAAACTTGTTCTTGTATTGTGAAGGTGGGGCAAAACCCTGTTATTGAGATAATTTTATCTGCTCCAAAAGAAGTCACATGAAAGCACGTATTGTATTTTCATATACTTCTCAGAAAACAGCGAGACTCTTCTGTTTCATTAGAGAAAAGCTCTCTCAAAGATTCAACTGGCTTATCTTTAGAAGAAATGGCTACTTTCCCGCCCGAACAACACATATCTGTGTCTTCCTCTTTCCACTTAACAGCTCCGCAATATTTGCAATCTATGTTCATTTTTTCTCTTTTTATAAGCTTGTGAGTTTCATAATCAAGAGTCTCGTTATGTTCATACACATGTTTCTTGTAAATTTTTGACGTCGTTGTGCAGCCCTTTCAGCAACAGCATGTCTGCGATATTCAGCTGCTTTCAATGTAACCTTGGCACTTTGGGATGCCATGTAAGTTAGACTCCTGCTGCTAAGGTCGAGCTTGTGACTGTATTGGTTTTAATGCAGCTCTCTGAGATATCTGATTCTCAGAGTGCTGTTGACGCCAATCCTGGGCCTCTTCTGGTGTCTCCGCAGCACGTAGAGATGCTAGAAAATTCGCGTGCCGTTGACGTCGAGCTTGGGACGGTTCTGTAGTCTCAGCATCTCGTTAAGATGCCAGATACTCAGCGTGCTATTGACGCCGCTCTTGTTCCTCTTCTGGTATCTCCGCAGCTGTATGTGCAGCCACGTTCACTGTCAATACAACCTAAATAACTAGAACTAAAATCAAATAAACAAAAATAAAACAATTCTAATACGACTGAAATTAAAATAAAAAGTAATCCATGTTTCTACTTAAAATATACGAACTAAAAATAATAATACTAGTTTTTACGGATTTTATCGCGTATATTTAACTATAAATACCCGACGTTTCGAGCGCTTTACAGCACCCAGGTCACGGGGGGGGACTGAGATGTTCAACGTCCAAATGTCATAGTTAACAGCGGTTACCATAGATAAGATAAAAATTGTATAAATTGTATAATACGTCACAGTGAACGAGTGAAGCTGGCCACAGTCGAGCGTGTACCTGCTGTACTGCCATATGTTAGAGGAGTCACTGACAAGATTGGCTACATTTTGAAGCGCGCTTTCATCAAAACATACTTCAAGCCGCCGAAGAAGATTGTTCAGTTTTTACCATCAGTCAAGTGTAACGTCCCTCTGCAAGATGCAGGAGTGTACAAGCTTGATTGTGAATGTGGTCTCTCCTACATAGGACAAACTAAAAGATCAATTAAAACGCGCGTTAAGGAACATATAGCTGATGTGAAGAATCGACGCTCCGGGAAGTCTGCAGTCTGTGAACACGTACAGGATCGCCCCCGTCACTACATCAGATTTGATAGACCAAAAATCCTCGCTAAAGAACACCGATTCCTTGCAAGGATGATTCGCGAGGCTATTGAAATCAAAGAACATCCTAATTTCAATAGAGAAGATGGCTGGGTGCTACCATCTGCTTGGGATCCTGTAATAAATAAAATTAAATCCCAACCCAAGCATACAACTGCAAGACTTCAAAATACCATAAGTTCATACTGTGTAGATCGGTACAAAAGTTAAATTTTTATCTATGGTAACCGCTGTTAACTATGACATTTGGACGTTGAACATCTCAGTCCCCCCCGTGACCATGGGTGCTGTAAAGCGCTCGAAACGTCGGGTATTTATAGTTAAATATACTCGATAAAATCCGTAAAAACTAGTATTATTTCATTGTGTAGTGTTCGCGTAATAATAAGAAATCATTATAAAAATAATAATATGCCTGCCTACTTTAATAAATAATAAATCTCTTCGAGAATCGAATTAGCTATAAGAAAGTACACAAATTGCAACACAATCGTCAACGGCGTTTGTCCTCATGCGTCTGCCCGCATTCGTGTCACGCACGATCCTATGTCATTGCTTGGACTGCCCCTCCACCCCCGCTTTCGCTGACGCTCCATTCATGTCAATCTTGTCATGATTACTTGTAAACTTTTCGTCCAAATTACTATTGTGTAACAGAGAAAGTTCATCCATATTAAATACGGTAAGCTACAAATGTATCAATTTTGATAAATACTCTAAAATGTGCATTCTAAAAAAGTATCTAATTTAATTGTATTTATGGCTCACTATTTCGGATATAACGGCTTCCACATAAAAGGTATATATATGCTGTCACGGACTTATATTCAGAACTGTTTAAGACAAACAATCCCACGGTACATTATCTTCGTGTAACTCCAACGGTTTAGGCAGCGCACGATAAGATAGCTCCCAGAGGGCAGAATTTTTCCGACTTATTTAATACTTATCGCTATATTATGACCAAATTACACAAAATATTTATAAGTTGTAGCCTAAGTGTTATTTCAATGTATAAACTATATTAATGTAAGGTTTCATCTAAATCCATTCATTAGTTTTGGCGTGAAAGAGTAACGAACATCTATCCATCCTCACAAACTTTCGCATTTATAATATTAGTAGGAAATAGGAAAGGAAAGTAGGAAGGATTACAAACGGGCACACAGTCCACCTAATAGTAAGTGGATGCTGTGGCCTATAGACACCTATCCTCAATTAAGAATTAAAATTCAGATGCCTTGTTACCCCTGAGGACTAAGATGGAATGCCTCGTTTCCAATAAAAGGGTCTCCAGTTCTCTACACTCACCATATGAAACTCAGCAGCCTAAAGTTGCAATTTTAAGCTGGTATTCTGTAATGTCCTACCCAGGTTGAGCCTACTCATTCATACTGCCACTAATATTGCTGTAGCGGGGCTCGACCACGTATATTACAATATGACTGTCATATCCTTTAATGTAAATTTTACGACAAGCACGATGTGGAGATAATTAGGAAAATTATCGTCGACTTTTGTGATTGTTACCGCTACATATCCCAAATAATTTATCTATAGAAGTTTTGTAATATCGAATAAAATGATAACGAAACAGATAGGTACAGTTAAAGTGTAATTGTACTGTTTTTATTGGCAATGAAATCCATTGTCAAGTTTGGTGTAGTTTATAAATAACAGTTATAAATGTAATTTACTAAATTGCACACAGCATGAGTGACAGACACGCAAAGTATAAATCATATAAAGAGGTTATTGTTTTCTTTTTCAGATAGAAGCCGGTACCGTTGTGCGCAGGATGTTTGCATGTGTACTACCAGGGATTATATCTTTTATCATGGGTTTTTACTGCCTTCTCCACGCTTGGCATAATGCTTTTGCTGAAATGCTGAAATTCGGCGATAGACTTTTTTACGAAGTAAATAAATAAATCAATATATAATACAATCTGTAATATGTATCAAACTAAGCCATACAGTGTTTACTACGAAACAAGGAATGTAAAATTCTGAACCACATTGGAGATAATAAGGCCATTTTGAAAATAATTCGTTTTAGTAATTTAGTAAAGAAAGGTCGAAACCCTTCACTCAATCGTTTATAAGCCTTCTACTACTACTTATCTACATTACTGTAATCTCTCGTTGTCATATCTGGTAGTCACTTTAATTTAAGACTATTAATTACAACTTGTACATTTATTTAAGAATAGCTTTTTACCCACGGCTTCACTCGCGTGGATTTTAATTTAGCAACATTAACAAATATTATTCCGTGCCAAATTTAGCAAAATTCGATCACTATCAGAGTCACCTTTGTGTCTGTGTCTCTATGTCTATCTGTCAAAGAATTTTTCAGAATTCTCAAGGACTATTGGACGTAGATGATATTTGGCATAGATATAACATGTTACGGGAACACATGAGTAAATTAGTTTTTAATAATTGCACTAATATCTTACGTCTATATACATACACCTACTATTTTTATATCAGGTGTCTTCCAATGTATATATTAGAAAGGTCAATTGTCTTGAAATCAAAATTTCGTTTAGTCTTAACAAAAGAATGATGAATTTCATTTGCGTCCATTAATTTACGTATGATGTTTATTTGGGATTTTGATTCATATCATTGGTCCCATTGAATATTGATGGGCATCATAAAATAAATGCTGATATTATTTTTTAATGAGGTTATATAAAGATCTCTTATATTTAGACAAATGCTAAACATGAACTAAAAATAAATTTACGAATTTTATCACTTTTTTACCTTTTTTACGTGGGGTTTTTTTACGCATCTTTGGATGAAAGATCCATAAATATATCGCTGATGTGAAGCACCGACGCTCCGAAAAGTCTGTTCAGTGTTTTCTTTGAGTATTCAAACTCAAAGACTACCTACGCTTCACTGACAACAGTGAAGCGTAGGTTTGTTTTATTGTCACTCATCTTATAAGTACATGTTTTCCTTGTATTTGTGCCCTTTAGACGATGTAACTTTTCTGAATATCCAATACAGTCGAACTCATAATTAATTTTACATACTGAGAATAAAATTGTATTTTAGAGTCCACACTTCTACCTTTATAACGTGTAGCGTGCACTTTTTGTACTTTATGCTTTATCACTTTACAAAATCCACAAAATTATACGGCTCAAAGTTTTAACTTAGCATTTAGTCCTATTTTACTACTCACGCGATGTACCTAGATCACTGCGGCCACTTATTTTTTGTCAATCTCATTAGAAGTAAGGTCAATAGGCACTTGTATTTAACACAAATTTTGAGTCAATATGCTGTAATAGATCACCAATATAACATTTGTGCACAATCAAAACATAATTCAGTTATACCAGTTATTCGACTCCAAAGACTCAGTAATTTCTTCATTGGGCAATGTATACGCTTTTATAACAAAGTCCTAGAAAATATGCAGACCTTATAAATGAAAAGGTCTTAAATATTTATTAAACCAAAATTGTTTAGTAAGGGATATTATATTTTAGTAGTAAAGAGTAGATGATTGATAATAATTCCTGGGAAAGAGGTGATCGCTGTCATGTTATTTATATTATATATAATAATTATATAATACTGAATAAAAATGGTTCTATTCTATTCATGTCCCAAATTTTATTCTGAATACATTTTACATCAATTAACAACAACTCAGTATTTTACAAAACGTAATGGCATTCAAATTACCTAAATAGTTCCGTCCAGACCACAGAACACCTAACTAGCTATATTAAGTGTTCTGTGGTCCAGACCGAAGGACGGCGAATGAAGCGCTGCTTGTGAGGCCGTCACGAGGAGCGCCATTTTTAGAGTTATTGAGAGTATGCAAAGGAATAGTTGTAGTTTTATACGTTCACACAACGTTCACGTTGGTAGTACGTACACATACATAACCGAAGGAAGAAAGAAAATATAACATGTAATCAGAGTAAACTTTTCTTTAAATCTTTGTAATAAAATTACAATATGAGTCTACTAGAAACAAAAACTGCAATGTCATTGTTATCGTTCTAGCCACAAATCATAATATTAGGATTATGAGTCATTCGCACGTTTTTGGTACCTGTAATTTTTGTAAATGACAGGAGATATCTTTTGATGATTACCTACATAATATTAAAATTTACGGAGTTTTGATTATACCTTCAATAAATTAAGTAAACAGTTTGGACATTGCGAGTTTTGGAATACATAGGTGGACTTTGCTGTTTTTGTTGGATATTGCTTATTTTGAAACATATTTATTTCAGTGTAACAGGCTAAAAAAATTTAATACTTGAGTAGTTTGCAAAGGAAAACAAATTTCATCAATCATCAATATTCGTCCCCGGTCAAACAATAACTACATATATTTTATTTGCGTTTTCGTGCGTCTATATTATCCACTACTTTGGGATTAACATTCCATAGTTCATTTATAATTATAATTTATACCTCAATCTATCTATTTTATCACATGGACGTCACACATGATCTTTGTTTTAATTAATGCCGGTACGTGAAATAAAATATGTACATATGTCCATGTTCATCTTAAGATCTATCCGTTGTGAGGCGCTATTGAGATCATTGAGCATATTGTTTAGATCGTCAAGTGATTCTGCCATAAGGATTATATCGGTAAATCGAAGGTGAGTGATGGACTCACCATTAATGTTAATACCGTTATCCTTTCCAGTCCAGTAGCTTGAAAACATCTTTTAATGCAGCGGTGAAGTGTTTCGAGAATATAACATAATCCCGTCTTATACCTCTCTGCAGTTGGATAGGTTTCGTACTCTAGTTCTGTACTCAGATAGCCATCGTAGCCCTACTGTACAAACACTTCAGCCCTTCGACATACCGACAGTCATCAACTTGGCATCGCTGAAGGGACTGCAGCACCGCCCAAATTTCGACGGAATCAATGGTTTTCTCATAGTCCACATACGCAAGACGATGTGGCAGATTGTACTCTTCGGTCTTCTGTACTATTTGCCGAAGGGTAAGTGGTGACATGGTATGCCTATGGTACTATAGCCTTTTCGGAAACCGGCTTATTCGGTAGGCTGGAAGTCATTGAGTCTGCGTGCGAGACGATTCGTAATGATTCTCGAAAACAGCACGTAGATGCGGCTCAAAAGGTAAATCGGTCGGTAGTTCTTCAAGAGAGCGTTGTCACCTTTCTTGAAGAACATAACACCTTCGGAGTAGTGCCAATATGGAGGATGGAATCAAGGAGCTTCTGAAGGACTTTAGGTACCGGTTTTCTACCCACTTTCAGAAGCTCCGCTGTAATTCCACCCTCGCCCGGGGACTTGCCGTTTTTAAGGTGCTGGAGAGTCATTGTTATCTCGCTCAAACTGACATCCGAGATATTATCGGAATAGTGTTGGATAAGACTTGCTCTTGCATCGTTACTCACACTTGCGTGTGGGTCGAACGGTGACGAGTACAGCTGCCCTACATAGAACTGCTAGCTGCTATAGAACCTCTCAATCTCACTCAAAATCTCAGGTATCCCGGAAACGACACTGCCACACTCGGTCTTCAGCTTCGACAGCTGGCTCTTTTTAGCAGACAAATCTCTGGCAAAGATTTTGGAGCCTCACTTCCGCTCAATTACTTTTTAATATGAGCTGTATTGAAGTTGCGTAAGTCCCGCCGCATATATTTGTAGATCTGTCTATTTAATTGCCTGTAGCATACAATCAACATCAATTTGCTGAAGACTGCAGCTTCATTTTCCGTCTGAAGCTGCAGTCCATGAACCAATCGGAAATTTTTTGTGTTCTTTTGCGGTCGGTCTCGACTTAACTCCGACCGCATGGACAGTTTCCACGAGCTTGTCATTCATATCGTCCACTGTATTGCAGTCTTTTAGGTACTGAAAACGGTTTTGTTATTCGAGGTGAAAGTTTTCGAGGCTTTGGAAAAGCGCACGAGGTTGACGGAGCGTTGACTTCATTAGACGGAGCCTCATCAACTTAACGTCAAGATTCAGTGTGCCTCTAACCATTCGGTGATTGCTCCCAGTTTTCACCATCGCGATCACTGGGACATCACTAAACAGTTGACGTTTGTTCGTTATAATGAAGTCAATCTCATTTTTTTCGAACCGACCGGCTCGACCACGTCCACTTCCTATGGAGTCGCTTCTGTAAAAAAGAGTTTATCATAAAGAGTCTCTCTTTTTCGACGAAGTCGGCCAGCTTAGGTTAGGTTAGGTTAGGTTCCAAAATTTTTGCCAGGTTCCTTAGGTTCCGTTGCCCTATTCCAAATTTCTCTACCTTCAGCTCACTGCTTTCTCTTGTGCCTAGTTTTGCGTTGAAGTCTCCCATCAACACGGTATTTTGGGTTTTGGAGTAATGCATTCCTCTAGAGATATACTTCATACATTTGTTCCACCTCCTCAGCGGGATGTGTCGAGGTTGGTGCGTAAACCTTTATGACTTTCAATGAATACCGTTTGGTGATTCTGAGTATCAGGTACGCAACCCTTGTCGACACACACCCAATCTTTACATATCGGAAGCTCTTACACCGAAAGAAAGACGTTTATTTTTTCTGGCAAGAGATTTTGCAAAAAGTCACGGTTTCTTATACTGCTGGACGACCTATGGAAAAAAATTTCTTCGAAAAAAAGAAGGTTTACACTTTACATACTACTTTCTTACTTATTTAATTTTTAATTACAATTCATATAAATTACTTGCTTTATTTTTATTTTTATCGTATGTTATTAGGCTTTAAGCGCATTATTTTGGGTTATAAATTTCATACAGATATTTATGTTTCATCTCATTTTATGTTCATATGCTTTCATTACTTACACAGGTAATAATACTTTTAGTGAAATATATATCTGTATCCAAATCTATGTCTTGTAAATTCGAAGTGTATTATATCAGCCTTCACACTTTATGACTGTACTTACTCAAAATATTCGTAGTATTTCAAGAAATTATGATAGTTTTTGGTAACTATAAAAAGAATTGACATTTCCTTTGACAATATTATACTGACAGAACGTTTGTTATCCTGTTATCCGGTAATACCTTACTTGGATGGTTATAACCATTATATGACAAAAAACTATTTAAACCAAAATGATTTAATAGTAATATGTAGTAAATATAATCATCATATCACTATTGAAGAATCATAATGTCAATATTGTAACTATCTTATCATAAAGTTAGAAAAAGATTTTGCATTTCAGGCCATTTACAGATCTCCATCTTTAAAAAAATTGAAATTTTCCTTCATTCACTTGATAGGATTCTTGCAAAGCTCTGTACTTTCAAAACAGTGCCTATAATTGGTGACATAAATATTAATATTTGTTATAAACCTAGTGATCCCAAATCTTTAGAATATTTAAATTTATGCTCCTTGATTACGGATTTATTTGGCAGAGCAAACAATAGTATTCAAAAACCTTTCACACAATGAGTATAACAAAGGATATACTACAAATTCCATAAAATCCTTCGTATTCTTACGCACTGATGTAGTTGAGGTAGAGCAACGCATCTTCGATTTTAAGGATGTCTATTTCGAGGGCTGGGACTATATATCAAATAAGGTCCTTAAAGGCTTCAAACACATTTTCGTCCCTCCTTTGACACATATTTTTAACCACTGTCTATCTCAAGGTATATTTCCCACGTTCCTAAAAAAATCTAAGGTATATCCATTTTACAATGCAGGTAGCATTTTAAATTGTAAAACGATACTGTGTCAACAACTATAGGCCTATATCGATACTTCCATCCATCTCTAAGATTATGGAACGCATAATCAATAAAATACTAGTCAAATACATAGAAGGAAATAACTTTATTTCTAAAAGTCAGTTAGGTTTTAGACCCGATAAATGACTTGCGATGCAGTCCATAAGGTTACCGACTATATTGTAAGCAATCTGAATAAAGGCAAGAAAACTACGAGCGAGCGAAACTCGTATTGGTATATTTTTGGATCTGCCAAGACTTTTGACATAGCTTCCATTCCTTTTTTATTACATAAGCTTAAATCTCTTGCAATACGTGGTATTCAATTAAATTTATTTAAGGACTACCTTTATTTTTAATAGATATCAATGTGTCAAAATTCAAATTAGCGATCATGTTAGTGGAGATTTAAAATCTTCAAGCCTGTTTATTGTCTATATAAATGACCTCTGTCTGCTCAACATTCCAAAATTGTAAAATAATTTGCTGTGCAGAGTGTTATCTGCACAGCAAATTATTTTACAATTTTGGATTTTGGTATTGCTATTCTCTGAATACTTGTGTGAGAATGTTTACACAACACAATTTGGTTTAAATTTAGTTACTCATTGGCTGCAACAATATTCTCCTACTCTTAATGTTGATAAGACACATATTATATCTTTTAGTATGCGAAACTATACCCAACCGATGCCGTCTCTTTCACTAATAGCTCATAACTGCTGTAAGAATAACTTCTGTTCATGTCCTTCACTAAAACCGCTTTCATAAAATACTTGGCGGTAATATTAGACCAAAATTTAACCTTTCGTGAAAATATACTTATGGTTTGTGCGAAGCTAAGAATACTAAGCTTTGTTTTCAAAAATCTTCGTCATGTGGCGCATCCCCAATTGCTGAAACAAGTATAATTAGCTCTCGCTCAATCAATCTTGAACTACTGTATTAGGTGTATTAGTGAGGGTGATCTTGAGAGGCTCAATTTTTGTTGTCCGGAGAAAAAAAGTACCCGTTATATTCAAATTAGAAACCAAAATATTTTTTATGCTACTATAATGTATGATCTAACTGAGGCTCGATAGTTTTTGCGTCTAGTTTGGTACAAAATAGTCGAAAAAAATTCAGAAAAACTTAAATATTGATACCCCTTGCGCGTCCACTACAAATTTTGCGAACAACTTACGAACAAAATACTAACTTATGAACGGAAATAAAATAAACAATGCAGTCTTGTCGCTACCAGGTTAGTTAATGATATATAAAAAAATATATTGTGAGTGTATTTACGATAGTTTTATTAATAATTAAAATATAAAGTCTGTACGAGGCTAAAAAGTGATTCCCGTGGCGAGTCACAAAACTACGTACATCTCTAGTAAAATGTTCTAGAGGAGTGCCTCCGCGTCGTCGCATGAGCGCTGCTAGTAGCGCTTCGGACGTAGTTGCGGAAGATTGCGCCGCTCGTTGGTCCAGGATGAAATTACGAAGGTAAAGATATGATTCCCCTGGTTTTGTTTCGCTAGGTCGTTTATTACCCTGATCATGTTTAAAAAATGTAATTTGAGTTTTAAGGATTTGCTGTCGGGTTATAATGGAACAGCTTTAATGATCATCATTTATTTATTTCATTGTTTTTATTTAAATTTGCGAAGAGGTGTTTTATCTATTTGCATATTTTATCGCATTTACCACGAGGAGTGGTCTGAGGAATTGTTCGGATCAATCCCAGCCGTCAAATTTCATGAACGCACATCGCGGAAAAACTCCCGATATCATCCACACCATCTGGGTGACTAGCGGTGCACCACTGTGCGATTTAAAAGAAATTTTCTTCCTCACACAACTTATTTTTAGAATCGACTAACACCAGAGATTTTTCCGAACCGATACGACTTAGGAATTAGGAACCTTGATTTTCGTATAAATCTTGTTTCAATTCTGATTCTCGTCGTATTTTATTGATTCCCCTGGCCAAAAAAATTTAAATGCTATATTTTGGGAACCATCCGGCCAAAAGAATGCCTATTCGTTAAATGTGCTTATAATTAAGTTAAATTTTATGTTACACTGTTACTTATAAAAAATCTGTTCAAATAAATTTTGCCAAGGGAATCTACTGAATCTCAGGATTCACCCATTACTATGTGGGGAGGTACATCCAAATTCATCCTAAAGCCCCTTGAAATAGCACAAAGAGCAAACCTTAAAGTATGCACATCTAAACCCTTACTTTCCCCTACTTTTCAGTTATATCAATCCTTTGGAGTACTCACTGTTCATCAGCTATTTATTCTGAACACAATGTTGAAACAACATTCGTGGTTATCTGATGATAAAGATCTTTTGTTATCAAAACGAAGACAAAATAAAGTTTACAAAAATAGACCTATTTCTAGTCATTCTTTCGTTAGTAAATATTTTTATCACCTTAGACCATTTCTTTATAACAAAATCAATAAAAAGACTGAATTGTACTCTTTGAATAAAAAAATTGCAAAATTAAATTTATTGCACTTCTACATCATTTAAACTTTGAAGAAACTGAACAATTCCTTAATACTAGTTAATATTACCTACACACCCTCTTACAAACTCGTGCATTTAACGTATTATACACAAAAAGATACATATTAATAGACATTTAACATTTTTCTTTGTATCAAAACACATTTTGTTATGTTTAAATATCACATTTTATTTGTTGTATACCATTTACTTAGTTAGTAGTTATTATTACTTAGTAAGTTATACTTATGTTAGTCTTTTGATATCTAACAAAGAAGAGCACTTTGATCTGAAATACAGATAAATATTTATCTAGTTCAGACACAGATGTTTCATCATTCTTTGTAAACTAAGTATAGATCATAGAGTAATTATTTATAAATGTGATAGTTATGCTGGTGGTAAAATAAAGTATTATTATTATTGGGGTATCTATATAGTTTTCTCATCTGGTTGGGTTCCATGAATATATAATTGTGAATGAAAATGTTAAATATACATAAATATCAATAAAATAAAATAAAATACATAAATAAATAAAAGCCCAACCAGAAAGAAGCCCTCGGCAGGGGAGACTAAACAGCCGAAGGTTATGGAGGAGCACCGCCTTCTGCATTTGAGCCCGTAGCGGTCCTTCACGGAGTCCCAGTCGCCTCAGATGACCCGGCAGGCTCACCGGAATTAGTCCATTCGCAGAGACGACTACAGGAATAATTTCACTCGGCAGACCACCCTATATTTCAGTCACTTCGTGAGCCAGGTACAGATTTTTTATTTGCTTATCTGTTTCGGCTTTCAGGAGGTTCTCGTCATACGGAATGGTAATGTAGACCAAAAATATCCTTGACTGTGGCCGGTCCATCAGCACAATATCAGGCTTATTCGCAAGAATAGTCCTGTCTGTGATGATGGCCCGGTCCCAGTAGAACCTGGCGCGATCATTTTCGAATACGGCTTCCGGCAAGTACTTGTAATATGACAATTTTCGGTCCACGAGTCCGTATTTCAGAGCGAGCTCCTGGTGAAGTATTCTGGCTAATATACTAGGATTATTTTGTCCGTGCAGTTTGGGTCATAAATCATCGAAGTATTTCACGTCGTACAGGTTGTGCAAGTACTCAGAGTTAGAAAGCGCCGAAGAACCGAAGATGACATGCTTAAGTTACTCATCGGGATGGCGACAAGCTCGACAGATGTCGAAGGTGCACTCCTTTAGGATGTATCTCCGATAGTTGTTAGTCTTAATAACCTGATCTTGTATTGCACAGACAAAAACCTTGGTTTTCCCGATTATTATTATTATTATTACAATCTTTACAACCTTGTTGACTAGATACTTGTGGACTTTATATCCAACTTGAGACAGATGGTCGCCGATGGTTCGAGGATTGCCGTGTCCTTTCCCTTTCTTCAGACCTCATATAATCCTACAATATGCCAGCGCAACTTGTCTACCTCTTCTCCAAGCCTCAGGATCTTCTCAGTCTCTTCGCAGTCCTCAGGGTGCGTGCGTTATACGTTGCCAGGTCGAGTCGTCTTAGATTTCAACCGAACCTCCACTGGAGATTCTTCGCACCCCCTGCCCCACTGTTACCATGGTCGCCACCGTAGCCAGGAAATGAGAAGCCGCCGGGGACTTGGGGCCGTTCGTTTGTGTCGTTGCTAATGGGGGATTTTTGCCCTAGTTGCTACGCTTGGCGAGCGGGTTGGCAACCGCAGTTTTTTTATTGTATAATTGCTCTTATCGGGAAGATGCTGCTGCCCATCTCTTGCCTGTCTCCCTCTGTCGCCTCTTACGACACCCACGGAAAGATATTGGGTAATGTCGGGAGGTTCGGGGAATAAATAATACGTCTACTATTTATTCCCCGAATATTTATTACTGCCCCCATGTTTATTAGGCTATCATATATATATATATTGAATTACAAAAATTTTTTTTTCAATGAATTACAACTTGGTGTAAAAATCAAAAAAATTGTACATTATTTTAAAAATATTAAAATTCGCAAAAAAAATGACAGTCGTTTAATATTACATGTTTTCTCACACGGCGGTCCTAGTGCAACATAATCAGAATTATTAACATAACAACAGGGATCAAATACAACTTACAATCTCGGCCGCGTAAGCGGTTTGTGACACCTTTGTTTTAATTTCTAAGTATGTTCATGGGAACGTTTTTTCGATTACGTTGTATAATGGTACCTAGTTTTAACCATGCATTAAAATTATATCGTAAATGAAATGAATTTAACTTTCCTAATGGTTTTTACCTCTAAATATAGATTGTTACATTCAATTTTAAATTCATTTTGTAAAAGTATTTTTTTTTACATAGGTACATTAACAAAAAATCATTAATTAAGTTATTTATAATTTCGAAAACTCATTTTTTCATGACATGAAATTTATAAGAAAACACTACTAGGTAGACAGCTTAAGTTTGTTTTACGAAATATTTATTAACATTGAAAAAGGCAATTTTATTTCAAACAGATAACATCATTTTTGGCTCCGTTGTCATTTCTAAAGAAAAAACGTAAAAAGAATACTATTACATTAATAAATTTATAATAATAGTGTATCGATATACTCTGGACTTTATTTTATAAGCAAAATATAAACCAAATATAGTTTAAAATGTACAAATTTTACATAAAAAACATATGACAAAAAATTCTACAAGATTTGTAGTAAATATGAATCAATGTGCCTAAAATATGAAAAAAAATATCTCGTAAATTCATATACAAATGTGGTAAAACAATTACGCACACAATACATACACACACAACACATTTTCGCGTAGTTGTTTAAATCGATCCCTATAGTTATTACATGTGTAACTCGTTAGTCGCATTTTGGGTAGCATTAATAGTCCTAATACAGAAATGCAAAATAACTACCTATCTCACCTTTAAGATTATCATACATTTATCACACCTTTTGATTTGCTCGGAAATCCCCTTATAATCCTGTATTTTTGTCGATTAATAGGCTCTTTTTCCATAATTCTTGTACGTACTTTCTTTTATTTCTTCCTAATATTTTTGACCTTTAGCTAGCTCTCTTTCTCTCTATTCACTTATATGTTTATTTATTTATTAGTTACCGGGAATCGGAGTATTAATTCATTTCATTTATATTTTATTTCGTGATTTTTATCACCGGGTACTTTATAAATATGGGCCCCCCATTTATTTGGGTATTATATTACATTTTCGTAACATTCATTTCATTTTATTGGTACATAAACTTTTTTTCTATATCAAGGTAAAATTTACCTTGGGTTGTGCGCACAACCTTGACTCCAACAATTGTCACAGAGGAAAACTAAGTTCGCACCATGATCCAACGAAGGATGTGACCTCAATGTACCATTAATAAGGGTAACAAATTTAAGACTTCTCTGGTCCCTAACAGTACTAATATGTGTAAACTGTATATCACTTGTACTGAAGGTACTGTTCCCTAGTACCCGTTACGCCCGATTTTATCATCCAATCACGGAAACATACCCTGCTCGAGGACTATATGTTTTACCAGTTACGTTCCCGTATCTCTCCATTACCTATTTATTAATGTCAATTATTTTCTTTCATATTTATTCCTTTCATGCATAATTCTCACTCCTTACGGATTCAATGCAACTAGTTTAAGTATCATCAAATATTTGGGTGATCAGTCCAATATTGACGAAACTTATACGCGCTTACTTTCTTATACTTAAAAATATAAATATATATATATATATATATATAATATATATATATATATTTCTTTGATTCCTGACACCTTTTAAATAAATACTTGCTAATTTTTGTACAAAATGGATAATTTTTTTCAGTCAACGTTTAACTCAATCAAGAAACATTACTATAGGCAGGCGACGTACATACTTTATAATAGAATGGCATTTTTCTAGTCAGTTTTCCTTTAGTTTTTATTATAATGTTTACCCTGTTTAAGAAAATGTTGGTGTTATGTATCTTTAAATGTTATTGTTATACTTTATTAGAAGTTATACGATAAGACGTTCTTAGTAATACGAAATACAAAACAGCCTATAAATAATGCTATAAGAGACGAGAATGGTTTTATTCTGAATGATGAAGTTTCGAATTTAAACAGATGGAAGGAATACTTTGAAAGCGTGTTTATGAGTGAAGAGTCGTCTGAATTAAATGAACAAGAAATTCCGAAAGAAGTGGAAAGGGGTATGGAGATAAGTGTAGATGAAATAATGAAAGCAATGAAAAGCATGAAAGCAGGTAAGGCAGCTGGATATGATAGAGTATCACTCGAGATGCTAAGGGCTGGAGAGGGAGTGGTGGGAGGCCTGCTGTACACCTTGTTTAATTTATGTTGGGAATTAAAACGGGTACCGGATGACTGGTGTAAAGCAGTTATAGTACCAATATATAAAGGAAAAGGGTCACAGCAGGACTGCAAAAACTACCGTGGTATCAGCTTGCTTAGTATTGTGGCTAAACTGTATGCTAAGGTGTTAATTGAAAGAGTTATGAAAGAAACTGATGGAAAAATTTGGGATATGCAAGCGGGTTTTAGGAAGGTAATTGGGTGTACAGATCAAGTCTTTTCCATGCGCATGATTGCGGAGAAGTTTTTGGCTAAAAACCAGAAAGTTTTTTGTGCGGTCATGGACTTGGAAAAGGCTTATGACAGAGTGGACAGGAATGTGTTATGGCAAACACTGAACTCATATTGGTTGAGCGCTGTTTTGATACAGGCAATAAGGTCTCTTTATAGGTACTCTAGAGCTTGTGTCAGGATCAATGGGGTCTACTTGGACTGGTTTGGCATCCGAAAGGGTGTCAGACAGGGCTGTGAGGCTTCCCCTTGGCTGTTCAACCTATTTATGGACAGGTGTTTGCAAACTTTGAAAGATGAAGAATGTGGGTTAAGAATGGGCGAGTTAACCGTCAAATGCCTTTTGTATGCCGATGATCAAGTCATATTTGCGTCATCGGCGGCTGAGTTGCAAATGATGGTTACATTAATGAACTGGGCATTAAAAGAAAGGGGAATGAAAGTGAACGCAAGTAAGACGAAAGTGATGGTTTTTGCAAGAGCAAAACGATATGTGAAATAAGAATAGAAGGAGAGTTAATTGACCAAGCGGATGAGTTTGTGTATTTGGGATGTGTATTTAGCAGGGATGGTAGATATGATAAGGATATAGAACGACGAGTAAATGCAGGGAATAGAGTGAATGGAGAACTACACTCTATTGTGAAGAACCAGAATGTATCAAAAAAGGCACGTATGGTAATTCATAATGCTGTGTTAGTCCCTACTTTAATGTATGGTAGTGAAAGCTGGGTGTGGCAGAAGAAGCACGAAAGTAGAATAAATGCTGTAGAAATGCGGTCTTTAAGGAATATGCTAGGGTTGAATCTGAATGACGGAATGAGAAATTGCATGATAAGAGATAAATGTGGTATGCAAGATGATGTTGTGACCAGGATTAAGAAAGGGATGCTTCGGTGGTTTGGTCATGTAGAAAGAATGAATGAGGAAAGAGTGACAAAACAAATTTATATGGCAGATGTGAACGGCAGATTCGGGAAGGGACGCCCTAGAAAAAAGTTTATCGACCAAATTGGCGATATTTTGAAAATGGGCCACGTTAAAAACTCTCTGAGAACTTTTTCAAAGCCTAAGAGTCGCTTAGGCTTTGAAGAAGTTCTCAGAGAGTTTTTGGAGAAATTGTTGGATTGTGGGGAGCTCTAGGACACGATGAAGGTCGCTACGGACGTACCAAGGTGCGTTCGCAGCTCGACGACAGAAAAGGTTTTGAACTATTTGGAGTTCATTAATGATTTTAGGGTTGGCGTGGGCAAAAACGGGGCCCGCGTATGACATGACTGGTCGTATACAGACCTTATAAAGGGTACGCTTGTTTCTAAGCGACATTTTACTGTGTCGGCCCAACATACAGTTGATCCTACTCAAATAGAACCGTGCGTGACGGGTTACTCTTTTGACGTGGGGCCTGAAAGTGAGCCCTGTGTCTATAGTGACACCTAAATATTTGGTGGTCGTATGCCAGGGGACAGGGGTCCCTAGTATACGTATTGGTGGGGTGTTTTTAAGACGGCGTCGTTTATAATCGAAGTGAACGGCGGAGCTCTTCTCCGGGTTCACATCGATGCGCCATTTTTTGAACCAAGCTCCTAGGTCATCAATTGACTTTTGGATCTTGTTCCGTATGAAGGGTAGTGAGACACCTTTGCAGTAGATAGCAGTGTCGTCTGCGAAGAGGGAGAGCTGAACACCTTTCGACGGGATGGGAATGTCGTTGGTGAACAGATGTACAGCAGAGGAGCAAGTACTGAGCCCTGAGGGACACCAGACTTGATAGTTCGCTGTGAAGATATCGTGCCTTCGTGTCTAAAACGAAAGGTACGATGCTTTAGGTAGGAGGCCACGAGACGTACTAGACCATCGGGGAGACCTATTTTGTAGAGCTTGTAGATAAGGCCTGTATGCCAGACTCTATCGAAAGCTTTAGCTATGTGGAAAAAGACCGCGATGGTCTTATGACGACGAGGATAGAAACCGCTGAGGATATATTCCACAATGCGGTGAACTTGTTGGGGGGCCATCATATATATATATATATATATATATATATATATATATATATATATATATATATATATATATATATATATATATAGCTACATGAGCATACACTACACACACACACTACGTAGTTGATATCCTCAACGGCCACTACACGGCTAACGTAATAGATAACACAATTTTATTTTATGGATATTGTGGTTTTTAATACTAGTAGACTCATATATATGCAATAAAGAATCTGTGCGTTTTGGATTTTGAAAGACCCATTAATGTCTGTTATAGGTGGTAAATATATTATGTTTAAATATATATTATGTACAACGAACATACGGCTCACCTGATGAAACTCCGCTACTATGTTAGGGGGGGGGATTGGGCGTCCGTCCGCCTGCACTCACCTGGTGAAATGCAGAAGCGAAGCTTCTACTTCACGCTGGTCTTCTGTGAGCTCGTGTTACCACCCCGGTTATTGTATTGGTAATAAATATATAAATATTTATATATTTATTACCACTGTTATAAATATATAAATATATATTATGGTTGCGACATGAATAGATCGGCTCGACCGGGGAGGGTCACGTCCTCACAGAATACCAGAATAAGACTGGAGATTAATGCTACTGATTTTCGCATGGTGAGTGAACGGTAGACCCTTTTTACTGGTAACGCGGCACCTCAACCCTAAAAGGTGAAAAGTATCTACATTTTTATTCTAAATGGAAGAAAGATATAGGTGACTATGGGCAATGGCATCCAATTACTATCAGGTGAACTGTGTATTGTGACCAAGCTATTTGAATGTCTTCCAACTAATGACATTACCTATAGTAAAAGGAAAATTTTTTTCGGTTACAGGAATGGTGGACGGCTTCACAATTTTCTTGGTATTACCGCGCGTGGAACCGCGTTGTCTACTTTTGGTTACGTGATCATATATACCGACCACTCGCACCGCTGGCCGGTAGCAGTATTTCCACATTAGTCGTCTTTGTTGTAGGTTTTTTCTAAATAATATTTATTTCATCATCATCATCATCATCATTAACTTGATCATCATTGCAACCCATCAAAGTCTACTGCTGGTATTGTAACGTCCTTAAAAAGGCGATTAATGTAAACTTCTCATTTCTCTAACCACCCGGGTTCAATTACCGCTGGTAGTTAACTTGTCGTTTGCTCCATAATCATCGCAAATAAGTGGAAAATAAATGAAAGAAGGCTTGTGTCGAACATTGGATCGTATATAGGTGGTAACTTTAAACTTTTATAGGGCATCATTTTTGGGAGAAACATTCGTTTATATATCAGCTGCTGAAATGATAACACGAAAATGAAAAAAACGAAGTGATAGCCGTCATCAAGTACCTCTGTTAAAAAAATTACTTAAGATATACATGCTGAAATGATGGAAAGACTAAGAGTCTCTCTAACACCAAATTTCATAGTTTAACGCTGATCCGCGGATTTAAAGCTGGGCTGAACATGAACCGAATATGAGCATCGTGAAGTCCGCCTGTAGATCTCTCTCACCGAAAATAACGTAAATAAAGTTCAAGATGTTTTGTTGGTCGAATAAAAACAGACGATCTGACATTTAAGAGATCACATGGATTTCATTTCAGCATTCAACGAATTCTTACCAACGAAATGCATAATGGCAAAGCTAACCGCCCGTTGCCTTAACACATTCCTAATTCAAGTAGATCTTTGTCGACAGCGTGTTTACATATAACTTCGTATTATTAACAGAAATGGTGTGCTTAATAAATTACAATGTACAATAAACTATTCATATACCTACGTTACACAACATTATTATCGCAGGAGTCCGTGGTACTCGTAATTGTGTCTGTCAAAGGTCTAATTAGTTCTTGACCTGCGCGTTATTTCGTAGCTAATTTAAAAAAAATGAGGCCGGTTTCGAAGCACTGACGTTAAAATGTATTAAACTCGTAAGTACTTTATTGATGAATATGATAATCCGTTCATTACAACCAATAAAAGTCCACTGCTGATCATAGGCCTCCCCCCTAGATTATTCTTTTTATATTCATTTTTATATTTTTTAAGAATATTAACAATGCTATAAACATTACTAACATTCCCCTCAACCACTCGTGGTACGAGGGTGGATTGAAAAGTACTCGGCCTAACCAAGAAAATAAACACATACTAAATCAGTTATATTTTTATTTTTCTACATAATCACCATCAAGTTCAATACACTTTTGCCACCTCCCCTTCCAAGCATTTAGACCGTTGAAAAAAAATGATTCTTCCTTAGAGTCAAAATATGCGTCTACAGCTGCTTTGACCTCGTCGTTTGTCGAAAATCTTTGACCTCCCAAGTGCTTTTTTAGGTTAGGGAACAGAAAGAAGTCTGATGGTGCCAGATCAGGTGAATACGGCGGATGCGGTAACAGTTCAAAGCCACAGTTGTGAATTTCAGCCATTGACTGTACTGACGTGTGAACACGGGCGTTATCTTGATGAAACAGGACTTTTCTTCTGAGCATTCCTCCACGTTTTTCTTTTATGTCCTCTCGTAAACGACGTAGTAAGGTGCAGTAGTAATCAGAGTTTATAGTCTGACCCCTTTCAAGATAATCAATCATAATCCCACCTTTCGAGTCCCAGAATACTGAAGCCATCACCTTATTTGCCGACAAAATCGACTTAGCCTTTTTAGGGGGTGGTGAACCAGGTCTTCTCCACTGTTTTGATTGTTGTTTTGTTTCCGGTGTACAGTAATGAACCCATGTTTCGTCCATAGTAACAAAACGATTCAAAAAATCATCTGCATCGGCTTCAAATAACTCCAAACAGTCGCGTGAAATAGTCAATCGCGTCCTTTTTTGTTCAACTGAAAGCAGTCGCGGAACCCACCTGGCAGACACCTTGTGGAAACCCAACTCGTTGACAATGATGTTTTGAGTTCGTTCATAAGAGATGCCTATAATCTCGGCTATCTCTCTAATTTTTAATCTGCGGTCTCCCATTATTAAATCAAGTACTTTTTTAATATTTTCGTCAGTAGTTGACGTCGAAGGCCTTCCAGAGCGGGGTTCATCTTTCACACTCTCTCTACCACGCTTAAATTCTGCTATCCATTTTTTGACGGATGAATATGACAGAGCACAATCGCCTAATGTACTGACCATGTCATCATGGATGGCTTTTGATGATAGCCCCTTCTTATGGAGGTACTTAATGACGGCACGCTGCTCGATTTGTTCCATTCGCGGAAATTATGTCCGATTACTTTGTTAATAAATTTATAAAATCACAACTAATTATCGCATACGTTTCGAACTTCACACAATGAACTAGTCTGAACTGAACTAAATAATGTGGGTAGATTTGATTTTTAGAATTGAATGGATCTGTGTTAGGCCGAGTACTTTTCAATCCACCTAGGTAAGCTTAAATTGCTTGTGTTACGAGTGGTTCACGCCAATAGTCGAACGGCGGATTCGAACCCACGACCTTTTTGAGTTCGCGGTCAGCACCCTGCCATTAGGCTACTGTCGCTTCAAAGATTGCCTCATTAGGGGGATTTTACCATAGTTGCCATGCTTGGTAGGCGGTTTGGCAACTGCAGTTTTTGATTATTTTAAATTCGTCAGGAAAATGCTGCTAACCATCTCTTTCTTCAGTTGCCCTCTGTTGCCCATTACGACACCCGCGGGAGAACATAGAGTAGTGAACATTTTTACACCGCCACACTATACTGTTTGATTATAATATTATATACTAACAAACATTTTAATGTTATTGATAACATTTAAATGACAAACGCAACTCATCTGGGCGTAAGTTTGTATTGTATTGTACACAACTGCAACCAATTTTTAAACATAAAACGATAAAGATGCGTTGTTACAGGTAAGCTCTTTTTTTTTTTTTGTTTCGCTTTATGCTTTGCCCGCCCAGAACGGGCTTCTCTATATGCATTAAGGCAGCCCTTTCTTCCATATTTACTCATACACTAGGAGGTTTTTATTATTACTTTGTAATAAAATTTGTTTTTACCCGACTATGTACACTCGATTGTGAACTGTTTAAGTTATATTTTATTTATTAAATGTCATACTTCTAAATTTAAAAAAAATATCATCACTAACGTGAAAAAACAGGCGATAATGCTTTTAATTTAGTAAAAGTTATTAGCAGCTTGCTCGCCTAACTAGGCGAAATTCAAGCTGTAGGCGAGATTCAAGCTGCTGATATTCCATAAATCTTCTTAAAAGGGTCAAAAATAAACGATTCGTGGTCCCGTGTATTACATAATATAGTTCATTGCTATCGTCTTACTATTGTGTCTGAAAATCGGACAGTGAAAGTGTTAAACTATCAATAGAAAGTAAAAGCCCAATTCAACGAATTAAAAAAATATTTTCCGCATAGTAGCTTCTTTAGTCTAGTCTTAATTACTTCTATATACTCTGCCTGTCTTAGTACCTATATCCAAAGCTATTATGTAGAATATTTGTTTAGTTCCTTGTAGTATTATAATCTAAATTTTGACCCTTTTGAGTAGAGTAAGGAATATCCTCAAGTCTATTTTCTCCTATCTCAAAAATTATTTCGATAAATGATATCGATAAATGACCTACAGGATAAAATAGCAAAAGATTAAAATAAAAAAAAAATAGTATATATATATATATATATATATATATATATATATATATCTCATTTCATTTATTATCACGATGCACCGCGAAGTGAGGTAGACATTTGGGAAAAAGTTTTTAAATCCACCTTACACTCTTACAAAAAATATTAAGAAAGAGCTACTAATAATTGTAAATATAAAGTGCGGTCAATTTTCAGGTATCATCTGTCGCACACGAGGTTATATTGGCCCTTTCATTTGGTTTCTTTTACCCTGTGCTTTTCATGGAGTTCGGAGTGTGTGGGCTAATGTTGTTGCCACTCACGGCTTCCAGTGGACGTCGCTTCCCAAGTGCCCTCAATTTTTGTATTTGGCTATGCCTCTTTGTTGGAAACGGTATGTATCTTCAAGTAACGTATCTTAAATACAGTCAAATATATCATCACTGACGTCCTAAACCGCAAAAGTAAAATTTTTCCAAAAACTTAGGACTTGGTCAAAATTATGAAATCAAGTAAGTGCTACGTTTCGCATCTGCGGCTTTGGATATCGAATTCCGACTTGCAAAATTTCACAATTTACTTGTGATTTATGATACTAATATACATAATGCACACTTCACATACTTCTAAATTTTCATGATTATTTATGTTTTCCTAATAAAACACCGTTTTATGTAAGAATGATGGCAGTCGAACGTACAACCGATGGTAAGCGGATACCGTGGCCCACAGACCTACATTACATCTTTGATTAAAAATCAAACCGTTTTAACTCCTGAATATTAAAATGTAATTCCTAATTAAAATTTTGTTCTATATGTGTAGTATAGGATAAAAGCCTTTTTAAGTAAATATAGATAATAAAATTGTAAATATAAATAAAAATTTCTTCGGTTCGTATCACTCAGATTATGATATTCAGCAGCAGCGTATTGCTATTTTCTGCTGTTATCCAATTAAAACGTGTTCATTTGCCGGTCAAACCAATGGATGAATTAATAATACAGCTGGACGTGGCTCTACCACGTTAGAACACTACTGCTTCATCGGTGCTCTCCAGTTCTTTTTTACTTATACGTCATATGTGAAATTATATTTCTACTTTATTATGCGCAGAAACATTGTCAATATAATAACAATGCCAAAAGATTTAAACCGTTTAATCTAAGAAGGAATCCTAATGTTACTCGTTTTAACAAAATTAACCAAAAAGTTAATAACCTAAATTTTTTAAATTAAGCTTTTTTATTTCTTTTTACAGGTATTTCATGGAGCCTTTACGCAATGGAATATTTTGCCCGCCAAAATTGTCCGCCATCAGAAAACGATAGTTTTTTCATACCGAAATCTTGGTCTTGCCCGGAAATAGTACTGAAACCAAATTGGACTTTTCAAAATCCTTTCACATTAATTAGAAATGACTATTAATTATTAACACTATTTTAAAAATTAAAAAAGTGGTGAAACTTTGGTTCTTGGTTAAAGCTATAAGTAGAAACTAACGAAATATTCTCATTGATTTATTAGTTGTGTGTCCTGTAAAAGTATGAATGTAGTAGTAAATATTTCTCCATATTAGTTGTATTTGAAAAATTCTGATGATTATAGACACGGCGTCTGAGATAATTATTACCAATAATGACTAAATTATTTCATTTTCCTAATATTACATTATTTTTCTTTTGCAAAATTTGTTTTGTCTTTTCAAATTTCTGAATAAAATGAACAGCATAGTTTCTTGAGTGTTTTTCTGTAGTCGGTACCAACCTCCTGGTTGACAATAATATGGACGTCGCACATTGCAACAATCGAAGATTTTGTGAAAATCTATGCAATCGCCACGCATCATTGCAACTTCATTCACGTGGAATTAGTATTTTCATTGTGATAATTGGTGATGATTTATTTGTAATTTTTACGATTAAGTAATAAGATCTAGAAAGACACTAATCTGGGTTATATATTCTGTTAGTTAATCAGACAAACTAACCGACGTACAAATAGACGGGTCCACAAATGAACAAACGGACGTACCCACAAACGAACCAAGAAAGGATTTGGGCAAACTAAACGCTTGTGTTTCATATTGTAAATAAACAACAGAATGACCGCTATAACGTACTCGTAATCCACAATTTGCTAATTAATTTCTGTAGCCAACACTTGATTTTCATACAAGAGATTAGAGACTATCGTAAATAAGCAAGCATTTGATGATGCTTGCTTATTTACGATAGTCTCTTATTGGTTATTATCGTAATATAATTTTTAATAAAATCAGGCGTTACTTTGCGGAAATCTATAATATTAAAATTGTAAATTGTTACAACATTGAGCGGAGGTGTGCGAAGTAATTCTTACCAACTTTAATGCGTTAAATGAAAATTACAATCCAATGCCTACCTAAAATTAGGTACCTAATTACAATAACAAAGTGAATGAAATTAGTTGTAATACTACTATCTATGTATCAAATGAAAATTAAACTTAACTCAGCCAAGGAAAGTCATTTGACATTTAGGTAAGATCGGGCCCAAAATCAGTTTGATTTTGTATCAAGAAGTTCGCAATAACGTCGTGGACTCAGGATTTTAGCGGTGTTTCATTCTTATGCCTCAGAAATCACGTAAAATCGTTGGTTTTGCGACTTACGAAATTTGTGTCGGATTACCGTCTCATCGGACTATGAGGATGAGGTAATAGAACGTGCACCTGTGCTTGAGCACATACTTGTGATCTATAGTATTGTCCTAAATCATTAAAGCATAACATTATGCTTTAATGTGAGTGAAATGGAAGTGCCTACATAGGTACTTCCTTGGTACTTACGTAGGTATTATATAGAGCACAATAACTCTTTACCAAAAGTAGTTTGTACATAATATAAGACAGAATGGTGTGTCGGAAACAGTAAGAAAATAAAATGCATTAAAATGTAGGAAAATTATATTTAAATCCTTTTAATAAAATCTTCTTTTAAAAGAAGATTTTATTAAAAGGATTTTTTATTTTATTTAAATCAGCACTAACGCCATCTATTTGCAAATTGCAATAATACGACCCCACTCGTATACACAGTGATAAATAGACAATAACACTGCGTAGTTTAACTGCAGGTTATTGCAATATTGGTTTTTGTAAAATTAATTTAAAATAGGCAAATATATATATATATATATATATATATATATATATATATATATATATATATATATATAATATTTAAGTGATTATTGAGTGATACTAACGGTTCAAAACACGTTATAGTGCCGATTTTAAAACCATTTTTCACTTTACGTCGCGTCACTACAAAAACGCGTCGGGTCTGTAGCAAAAAAACTGCCGATTGAATTACCAAAATTGACACTTTAATTACCGAACACAAATTAAAACACACTAATAATTAATCACACTTAACACTTTAGTTCACTTTATTTCGCTCCGAAGTCTTCATTTGTCGCCATCGCCAAATCAATACTGCCTCGGTCGCGGTCCTTTAACGGCTTTTTATAGACCTTTTCCACTGAAACATCCCGAATTTTCGAACATATACCGGTCCCAACCGACTACGTGTAGACAGTTCTGTCCTAGTTCTGCCAGTCGATACTAGATGGTGCTGTAGGTGGAAAGTTCTAGCATGGCTTTTTCTAGAAAGCTCTCCTAATGCCTGCTACTTGATACCAGATGGTGCTAGTGGCATTTACGATTTGATTTACGTACTGGCATCAACTATAGCACGCAACAATATTAAAATTCCGTGTACTTAAAGTAATTGTGTTATAAAGTGTTTTTAATGTATAGTATTTAGAAAATCTATAGTTTTATTAACAATTAAAAATTAAAATAGTAAAAAGAATCACGTGAAGATGCGCGCCTCGTGCTTAGTGCCCAGCATTTCATGCAATGCAACTTTGTATGAAAGTTGAGAAATCTGCATACAATCATGATTATGTCAATGTTTGTTTGGCTTGAAATGAAGCGACGAGGAAGCGAAAAAATATCACTGTTTCTTTCTTCACGTTGTTTTAGGTTGCCATTTAAGAAAATAGATACAAATATAGACAATTATTATATCGGAAAAACTGATAAATGTTAATTCTGTGCTCTATTATTTTGTTTGCACTTTACCACGTGCAGTGACGTAGCGTGGGTTTCCGCCGCCCGGGGCCGCCCGGAATTTCACCCCCCCCCCCTCTTTTTTCTTATTTTAATTTAAATATTTTATTCAACGGAATTAATATACATCGTACAACTTATTGAAAGATGATATAAACTACCACTGATTCGGAAGGAACATACATCTATGATAAGAAATGGCGCCAGAAACCTATCTATCTTTTAAAATGTCAGATTGTTTACAAGGCATAATTTTACTAACTTAACACTAGATACATACAATAATAAATATTAATAATAATGAATGTATAATTGTATTTTAAATTATACATAACGCTCAACACTTAGCAACCTTAATTATACTTACTTAACCCTCGGTTAGTAGCGCTTTGTTTTGTAACGTCGTTCGTCGCGTGGGGTCTTTGAAAGCCCCTAAAATAAATTGGTTAAAAAATACATAAATTTATATATTTACCTACATTATTTTATATTTTATTCTTATTTGATTTAATATCAATAAAGTAAAATCAAAAAACTAAAAATTATTTATATATTTATTGCTTTAACTTACATACTAGAAATAGGAACTAAAAATTCTCTCCATAAGATCACTAGATAATTAAAATAAAAAAATCAACAGAAATTAAAATCCATACTAATATTATAAATGCGAAAGTGTGTTTGTTTGTTTGTCCTTCTTTCACGTCGCAACAGAGCGTCGGAATGGCATGATTTTTGTATGGGGATAGTTCGGTGGCTGTAGAGTGACATAGGCTACTTTTTTTCGTGGAGAATTGTGTTGATTTTGTGGGAAAATCGAATATGTTGCAAAATTAAATACAGCTAGGTGGCGCTACCGTGATTCTACAAGACGGACGACGGTACGATGGACGAACACAGAAGGTCAGTATATCTGGATTATTATGTCTTTTTACCAAAATTAAGATAAAAAATGTATGGATCTGTATTTTTCCACGCAGGACCGGGAAGAGAGCGATAAAAAACATAAAATTCACCAGCTGATTTTCTTCAAACGTTTTGGTGCATTGTAATTCACAGAATAGGCGATAACTTCGCAGACGATATTAAGTAATCCGTTGATGCTCTGCCTACCCCGCAATAGTTACGCTTTCACCCTTAACTATTACTTAACTGTGGTAGAAACAGTTCTTAGTAGCCTTATTAATAAGCCTTAGTAATATTTATTGAACGGAAATGAATACAGTTCTTATATGTGGTTATGAATGAATCGGTATTACAATAAGAAAAATTGTGCAAAAAAGAAAAGAAAAATATTTTTGAGAGTTCTTATTAACTAACGTATACATAGTTTAAATTGATTCCGCTAGATGTCGTTACTAGGTTTTTAAAACGCGGTAGCGAAATGTTTCCTGACATGTACTTAACTCCCGCCGTTGAGCCGCGCGTCAACTTATAGTGCATACGGTACCTATACGCTTAAATTGTTTCTATTTTGTATTTTGGTTGTTTGTTATTTGCTTTGTGATTTGGTTAAGGTTGAACGGCTTTATATTGACTTTCATTTTCGGATTTGTGTATTTTCTTGGATCGCTTTTGTTGATTTTGTTGGTATTCCTTTATACATATTTAGACTCTGGCTTTGATTTTCGATTTTGTTTATTTAGAATCGTGAATTGGTTTTCATTGTTTTCGGTTGTTTAACAATATTTCAAAGGAATATTAATAGTATAGATAGTGTATACGGTACCTCTTTATACGATATACTTCTTTTTTCGTTGGTTATATTTATATTGACTACTGCTTTCGATTTCGGTTTTCTGCGATTTTTTTTGTGATTTGGTTCAAGTTGATTCGATTTTTTTTTGGCTATCGTTTTCGGATTCGTATTCTGTCTTGAATTGGTTTTGTTACTATGATTTTAAAAAATATTTAAAAGGAATATTTATTCCTTTTAGATATTTTGCATTTGCTTTTAAAAAAAATATTTAAAAGGAAATTTAATTGCTTTTAGGTATTTTAACATTTTTTTATAAATACGTTTTTTATTACTTCATAATGCCTCGCAAACGTTAGTCCAGCATTTCAAGAGTATCTTCTCAAAGACAAGCGAAAGGATTAGCTCGATCGCTAGAAACTTTAGAAGATGCTGAACTGAGAAGGCAAGAACAAGCAGAGCGTCAGGCTGCTTTTAGAGCATCTGAGACACCTTCTCAACGTCAGCAAAGGCGTCTTGAACAGACAGAGCGTCAGGCTACTTTAAGAGCTTCCGAAACACCTTCTCAAAGTCAGGAAAGGCGTCTTGAACAGGCAAAGCGTTAAGCTACTTTAAG